CTCGGTCCGTGATGATTTCTCTGGGGGCTCCGTGCTTGAAAACAACATCTTCAATTAAGAACTTGGCTGCTTCCTTTGCTTCCCCTGTGGGTAAGGCTTTAGTAACGGCAAATCGAGTAAGATAGTCAGTACAGACTATGATCCATTTATTACCAGTATCAGACTTGGGAAATCTTCCAAGGAGGTCCATTCCAACTCTTTGAAAAGGGGAGGTTGCAGGAGGTATGGCTTTAAGTAGTCCGGGTGGCTTTTGAGTTGATTGTTTCTTTCTTTGGCACTCTTTACAATGAGCGACATACTTCCGTATGTCCCGGAGAAGTCCTGGCCAGAAATATTTGTTTTTAACTCTCTCATATGTCTTCGAAAATCCAAGATGGCCTGCTATGGGAGCGTCATGTAAACTTTTCAGTAGTTCTAAGCGTAAGTGCTTGGGAATAACTAAAAGGTGTTGGTTTCCCAGGGGGTCGAAATTCTTTTTGTATAAGGTTCCTTTTAACATTTCATAACCTTTCGATTCGGCACCAAATCTTTCTGTTTCCTCTATCAATTTACTAATTTTAGGGTATTTTCTTTGTTCAGCCTCGAAGCACGTCAGAGCAGTTATTGAGGGTATATCATCATCCTCATCATTGTATGCTTCTTCCGATTCAAGTTGGAGAGGATTTCGAGAAAGACAGTCGGCATCTTGGTGTTTGCGTCCACTTTTATAAACAACCGTTACATTGTAATTCTTGGAGTTTTAAAGCCCATCTTGCTAGTCTTCCTGTCGGGTCCTTCAGGTTAGATAACCAGCAAAGACCGTGGTGGTCAGTGACGATGACAAACTCACGACCAAAAAGGTACGGTCGAAATTTGTTGATGGCCCATATTGCGGCCAAGCATTCTCTTTCCGTTGTTGAGTAATTCTTCTCCGCCTTAGATAAAGTTCTTGAAGCATAACCAACTGGCCGCTCTTTCCCATCGTTGATCTGTACGAGGACAGCTCCAATTCCATAACCGCTGGCGTCAGTATGGAGCTCGGTTGGCAGTTGTTCTTCGAAATAGGCAAGAACAGGTTCAGACATCAATGCTTTTTCAAGGAATCAAAAGCATCCTGTTGGTCAGAGTTCCACGTGAATTTATTATCTTTTTTGAGTACTTCATGTAAAGGAGCAGCTTTCTCAGCAAAATATTCGATAAATCTACGATAATAGGAACATAGGCCAATGAAGCTTCTCACATCTGTTATAGATTTTGGGGTCGGAAACTTGGCGATAGCTTCAATCTTTTCTGGATCGGGATAAATACCTTTACTATCGACGAGGTGTCCAAACACTCTTATTCGTTTGGTTCCGAAAAGGCACTTTTTGGGGTTGAGGCGTAGCTCGGCTTTGTCGAGACATTGTAGTATGATTTCAAGCCGGTGTAAATGTTCGTTGAACGATTTGGAATACACCACGATGTCGTCTAAATAACAGAGGGCCATCGTCCATTTCAGGCCTTTCAATATCTTGTCCATCATGCGCTCGAATGTTGCAGGGGCATTGCACAGGCCAAAGGGCATGACTAGGAATTCGTAGAGTCCATCAGGGGTAATAAAGGCAGTTTTTTCTCTATCTGCTTCGTCGACTTCTATTTGCCAATACCCTGAACGAAGGTCCATTGATGAATAAAATTTAGCTCCTTTCAGAGAGTCAAGTGTATCATCGATTCGGGGTAGTGGGTAAACGTCTTTTTTAGTAACTTTGTTTAGTCGTCTGTAATCCACACAGAAACGCCAGTTACAATCCTTCTTCTTCACTAAAATAACCGGCGATGACCATGGACTTTCTGAATGACGTACAATCCCGGCGTCTAGCATTTTGTCCACTTCCGTTTGGATTGCTTGGCGTTCTGTAGGGGAGACTCGATATGGTCTATGCTTAATAGGCTGATGGTTTCCAGTTTCAATTTTATGTTTGGTTAATGAAGTTTGCTTTACTGGTTCATTATTTTTATCAAATATTTTATCATATCGTTTTAAAATTGATAAGATTTGAGACTGCTGCTCTTCTGATAAATCATCACTAATTAAATTTTGTAAAAATTTAAAGTCACTTTTATCAGCATGACTGGCATGATTCGCATTTTTCGCCTCCTTATTAAATTCAGAACATTCTGAAATAGCCGTCAAGTTATTTTCTTCAACCCTTTGAATTTTTCCTAGGCACATTCCCTTAGGGACTATTTGAGCTGTGGTGCTAGAATTTACGATCCAAAGTTTTCCTTTATTATGGGAAAGCCTGAATAATGCACAGGGAAGTGTTAACCCTTTTCCTATTAATACCTTTTTCGAAGGTTCAAAAAGTACCTGATTTTGCCCATTAAGCTCTTCACTCATAACATTTATTAGTTTGGTAGATTCGGCTGGGATTACGACGCTTCTGCTAGCCACAACCTTTCCCATGGAAGCTGGTTAATTTAGTACATCTTTGGCCTCTTCCAATCTAATTTCGACGCGTCCACAATCAATCACGGAATTTGATGCCTCTAGGAAATCCCATCCGAGGATAATACTTGGGTTACTATTAGGGAGGACGATAAACTCAAGCGGCTGTTCCAATCCATTGATGCTCAAGCTGATTGTGCATCGGCCGATCGATGTAACATTCTTGCCATCAGCAACTTTCAGAGTCATTCCGCTATCCTTGAACATGGTCTTTTTTAATTGTCGTCTTAATCCATCAGAGATAACTGAAAAAGAGGAACCTGAATCGACCAGAGCAGAAAATGCAATGTCATCAATGATGATTTCGACATAATTTTGTTGTAATTTAGCGGCTGTCGACAATGGAGGGTTTTTCACACCCGCGGCTTCCCCCTCGAAAGAAGACGTGACGCTTAGTTTTTTTCTAGATTGTAGCGGCGTGGGGATTGGCTTGTATGGCGGCCTGGGGAAATGGACTGGCGTCTTGGGGATCTTCCTCTGTTTGGATACGGCGATTGTCTGCGGTAGATTTGGCTTCTTATGGCTTGGTGGTTACCCATTTGAGGTTCTTGGGTGCTTGGTGCATGTCCTTCGGGTCTCTGCGTCCATTGTCGGCGTTCTCTACAATATCGCTTAACATGGCCTGGGCGGCCGCAATTAAAACATATTGGGATGTTGTCATGCGTCCTCTATTCATCCGTTCTTCGTTGTGGTGGCGTCTGGTTATATATGGGCGTTTGGGTAGGGTACTGACGTCGTGGAACCTGGTTGAATGTACGTGTTTGGTTGGGGTACGACTGTCGTGGCGGAGGCCTTTGAATAGGCTTCGAAATTGCAGCTACGTTTTTTTCAATCTCTTCTCGGATAATTTCTTTCAGAGAAGATGGTTCAGGGGTAGTTGGCTCCGGATTTAGTGCGCGATGAACTTCTTCACGCACGATGCGTCGGATTAAGTCTTCCATTGATTCAGAGTCTGCTGAATCGATGGCGGCAACATTCGGTAGTCTGTCGAATACTACACGTTTTTTTACACGTTTTTTATTCGAAGCCTCAATTTTTCGGTACCATTTGATGAACTCATCGATACTTGCAATGTCTAAAATGATGATTGACTGATATATCTCCTCCGATATTCCTTTTGTCAAGTGTGCAACTATTTCATTTTCCATCATAGCCGGATTCACTTCTCTGCACAGATGGAGAACATCTTGAATGTAAGAATCACTGGTCTCCTTCTTCCCTGAGCTCGAGTTTTGAGGTTCTCTGCGAGTTGATCTTTTTGGGTGACATGATGTCCGAAATTCTGAGAAAACATTTTCACAAAAATATCCCATGAATTAATTTTCTCTTCAACATTTTCGTACCATCTGTGCGCTGTTCCTTGGAGGAAAAAATAAACATTTGCGAGGCACATTGAATCATCCCAGCAGTTGTAGCGAGCGACGCGATGGAATTCTTTCAGCCATTTTTCTGGATTCTGGTTGCGTTCTCCAGTAAAAATAGAAGGGTTTCTAAAATGTTGAAAATGGTACTCACCCATTTTTGTCTGTGTCTCTTGCTTGATCATAGCGATGTTTTCTTCAGGTTCTAGTCCTTGTAGTCTTCGGCTTCTTCTAACGGCTTGGGCGTCGAGGGAATATTCCAGCTTCTCCACCAGTTGTCAAGGTAGTGATAACGAGTATAACAAAAGTTTAAGTAAAAATAATTTATTTATAAAATGCAAACTATTGCTAAGAAATTATTTACAAGTAAAAATATACAAGAATGGTAAGGGGTGATGACTATGCAAATATTTATGATGATATACCACAGAATATTTAAAATAATTATTCAGTGATAATATTATCTCTATCTCTATATCTATATATATATTTAAAAGTCAATTTCTGTCTGTCTGTCTGTTTCGCGATAAACTCAAAAACTACTGAACCAATTGGTACCAAATTTTGCATGTCGCTTTTTATAAACCTGAGGAAAATTTTCGGCTGCATTTTGATTAGTATTTTTGGCTATTTCTTTTTCTCATTTGAAGAACTTTTTTTTACATTTTAACTTTTTTTTATTAAAACTATATATTTTTAGTCAGAAAATGATGATGACGATATTGCTGTATCATGTTTGATTATTAGATACATAATTATATCGGGAAAAATTCCAAAAAGCAGAGACCACGGGTGAAACCAGTTCATTATTTTGTACGCAGGAACAAAATTCTAACAGAAAAACATTCATTCGAGCAGAATGAATATTCGTAACGAATATTATTTGAATAAAAACATTTAATCGGGTAAAACCCGGGCGTTGCCCGGGTCATTCGTCTAGTTATATATATAAAATTCAATTTCTGTCTGTCTGTCTGTTTCGCGATAAACTCAAAAACTACTGAACCAATTGGTACCAAATTTTGCATGTCGCTTTTTATAAACCTGAGGAAAATTTGCGGCTGCATTTTGATTAATATTTTTGGCTATCTCTTTTTTTCATTTGAAGAACTTTTTTTTACGCGGACTATTCCGGAATGGAATGAATACCTAAATATGGCCATTTTTTTAAAGCATCGGTGGTTTAGTTGTAGAATGCTCGCCAGCCACGCGGGCGGCCAGGGTTCGATTCCCGGCCGATGCATTTTTTTTTAACAATTTTTAAAACTCATTTATATTAAATCTCTATCAACATATATAGTCACGACCGTCTTTCCTCAATTCCTCATCGCGGTCAGGGATGCGCGCGCATCATCATTATGATCATATCTAATGATAATAATAATAATTATTATTATATTATTATTATTATTATCTTATTATCAACATATATAGTCACGACCGTCTTTCCTCAATTCCTCATCGCTGTCACGGATGCGCGCGCATCATCATTATGATCATTATCTTCTATAGAAGCTTCTATCTTTATAATTATGTATATTTACAAAAAGTCAATTCGCTCGCGCCTCTAGCGGTGAAAATGAGGGGTAATACCAGCTGACCTAATGTACATGTAAAGTTTGGAGCGGGACGTTTCACAAGAGTGACATCCACGGCTCCAATTTATAATTGTAACAAATAGTATTTGAATAAAAACATTCAATCGGGTAAAACACGGGCGTTGCCCGGGTCATTCGTCTAGTATATATATATAATAATAGAGTATTTGTTCAAAATCTTAATTTATTAGTTAGGTATGAGTACATTTTGTGTAGAAATAGGATTAGTTGACTTTATAAGGTAAACTTATTCATCGGTTTGTATCCCTCGATAGCTCAGTTGGCAGGCCGAGGACTGTAGATGTAATTAAGCGGTGATCCTTGGGTCGCTGGTTCAAATCCGGCTCGAGGGAGTTTTTTTTTTGGTAGATGCGCGCGCATCCGTGACAGAGGCCGATGAGGAAAGACGGTCGTGACTATATATATTAATGTGGTGATATTTGAGAGTATTCATGATAGTTGTGGCAAGTAGTAAAGATAGGAGGCAGGATCCGGGAACAAAAGCCTGTGAGGAGTAGATCAATGAGGAAAAAGAAGGTCCGAGGACCGCCACAATGGCGTGGAGGCCACTTCAGTGAAAACTGTCCTTTGATCATCCTCAATCCAGGTGCTCTTTCAATCTATTCTCAATAGGTTAAAATATTGCTCGCAGAGGGAGAACGGAGTGCTGATCCCCCGAGATTTTAGAAGTCAGGACATGTGGTCGACCTGGGGTGTGACCAGACCAGCCAACTTTCTCCTTCTTATACATCCACTCGTATTTCTGTACAAGTGATATAATTTAACATTTAAAATATACAAGTATCAGAGTCATCAACAATTCTGTCACCATTTGCTTTTGGTTCAGTGGTAGAATGCTGGCCTGCCAGGCGGGCGGCCCGAGTTTGATTCCCGGCCGATGGATTTTTTTTTTTTACAATTTTTAAAACTCTCATTTATATTATTAAAAATATATGTGCTTTTCCTGTCTATGTACAGATTTATGGTCTATGTACACAAGTATACAAGTATGTATATAAGTTATTTGCAAATTGCGTTGCAAATTTGCCCTTTCGCTCGCAAGCAGCGCCTCTCGCGGTGAAGATGGGAGGTAATATCAGCTGACCTAATGGACATGTAAAACGTGTTTTAACAGTACATAGAGAAAAATCTGGAAAAGATATTTTTCGGATTTTTAGTCAAGAAAAATAAATTGACAGGTTTTGGGAAAAAAGTAGTTGTTTTTTATTCAGTAGATGATCATGACAATATTGCTGTATCATATTTGATTATCAGATACAAAATTATATCCGGAAAAATTCCAAAAAGCAGAGAACACGGGTGATGCCAGTTCATTTTTAGTATGCAGGAACAAAATTCTAACAGAAAAACATTCATTCGAGCAGAAGACACAAAGCCAGATCATCTCTTTATAAAAATATCGCTTCTCAGACACAAAGTTTGGAGCGGGACGTTTCACAAGAATGACATCCACGGCGCCAATTTATAATTGTAACGAAAAGTATTTGAATAAAAACATTTAATCGGGTAAAACCCGGGCGTTGCCCGGGTCATTCGGCTAGTATTACCTATATATTATAACGTATATATTATCCAATACCTTTTTGGTTTATTTGTGAACATTTGTAGAAGGTTTTTAAAAGGTTTTATAAATATTCAAAAGTTATATTTTAAAAATATAAAAATATCCTTTATAAAATATATTTGAATATCACAGAGTATTTTTGAGATTAAATTTTATTCTTACTCTCGCGTTCAAAATGCTTAGTATTGTTGGGGTTATTTAGGCACACACATACAGACAAATTATTGGTTGAATTATTTTTCAATTTTTGAATTACGTTTTGGCGAGTTTTTAAAAATTGTTACGACCTAAATTTAAAAAAAAAAACTATATTTTATCTAACCTCATATAAATAATGGATTTTAGAAAAATATTAAAATCTTTAACAAATTCTTTTGAGAAACATGTTTCCATGCCTTTCTGGAAAATATTTAACAACAAAACTGAAAATACCAATATTGTATTAGGAACTAGTATCCCTTCTACTGAAGCTATCTCTGAAGTACCAGGTTTTACCCTGAAGATAGTTCCTGAAAATAAAAAGAAGCCGGCATCGATTATAAGTCCAAATTTTGACTCAACCAAAGAGAATAAAGCCTCTAAATGTATGCAGATATATGAAACTGATGATAATCCTTTAGAAAGGTTATTTATTAGATGCAATGTTAATAATCATCCTATCATAGCTTTTATAGATTCGGGAGCACAGTGCAACGCATTGGGACATAAAGGTGCAAATTATTTAGGTCTAGGAGAACTTGTTGATGTCTCATGGACGTACAACATCATAGGCCAATTAGGGAATGAATGTAGCTTTGGATATATACATTTGACGCATTTACAGATTGAAGATCAATGTATTCCATCTTCGTTTATTATCAGACGAAATTATGATTATTGGTTTATTCTTGGCCTACCGACAATTAGAATGCTCAACCTAGATATCAACATCGAGAAAAAGGCTCTTGTTAACACCAAAACTGGGACTGAGATTCCATTCTTATCAAAAGATGAAATTAAAAGCTATTTAACTCAATTAAAAAATGCTGTAGAAACACAACATCTGAAAATAATAAAAAATAAAAGAATTCATCAAGAAACTCTTATTATAAATAATATTAGAGCCAATAAAAATTTTGCTTTGAAACATCATCCAGAATTATATAAAAAACACGATCTTGTTGAAATCATGGTTAAGTTTAATGGACATCCTGTGAGGGCCATTGTAGATACTGGATCGATAAACTCGCATATATCGAGAGAATTTGCAGATCGCTGTGGCTTTTCGGGAATAAAAGGCGATGGTGAATTTTTTTCCGTTATTGTGAGAATAGGAAAGGACCTTGTGATAGCACCTTTCTGTATCCTTGAAAATTTGTGTTCTGATCTTATTATTGGGATGGATATCATTTTTAAATGTAAATTCTACTTTTCTTTCAGTCATAACGTTCTAATCAACACAGTCACTGGCTCTGAAATACCGTTCATGACTGAATGCAAGATTTTTGAAGAACAAAAAAAGTTGTAGATAAGGTTTTGTAATATATATGTAAATATACCTAGAAGTAATTATAAATAAATGCTCTATTATAAAATCATTTAGCTAAGTGAGATTTTAATAGTGTTTATATGAGTGCATTTTACGTGTATAATTACTGTAAATATACAAATTGAGTAGAATATACCATGAAAGAACATGGCGCAAAAGTCATGGTTAAACCTAGTCTCTCCTGGAGGTGGCCTCTTTTCAGAGAACGTTTTTGGTTGGAAAGACTCCTTCAGGAGAGACCTAGTTGAGCCAAGTTTTTGGGTGGTCCCTCATTGGAGATAATTGTAGGATTTTCAAAAATTTTCTTTGTTATTACTTTTTTTTACTTTACTTGGATGTCATTTTCAAACTGGCTTTACTTCGAGTATATATTTTAGTAGATAACATTATTGCATTGAATAAACACAGCCATATATGTGTGATTACAGCAATTAATACACTAGAGATGTAGATAATATATATATATATATATCCCCAAACCTGCTTATCTATATATATATATATCTATATATGCTAAAAATACTTCCTTCCTTTCCTTTATATATTATAACTAGCGGATGTACCCGGATTCGCCCGAGGTTTTACCCGAGTAAAGGTTTGTCTAGCGAACATTTGTTAAAACAATTCTCTAAAAATTTATTTTAAAAAAAGATATATTTTGATAATTTGAAACTTGTAAATTTGAATCTCTCGATAAAGTGAACATTTTTCCCGGTCCCTGTGTGCCGTGTCATCCTGAATTTTGTCTTTCCTAATTTTCTACATTAGAAAATCATAGTTTTATCTAGTGAACATTTTTTCCCGTGTCACATTCCTGTGTCATCCTGAGATAATATTACTTTTGATAAATAATATTTAAGATAACAAACTTAGTGATGAGAAAACTTGTTATCATCGTCACAATGGGGGCGCTGCTTGCGAGTTAAATCTACAAATCTGCAAATAACTCTAAGGATATTCAAGATATTCATGAAATTATTTTTCAAAACCCTTCCCGGTGATATACCTAATAATATCCCAAAATTTGACGGCGATTGGATGTATGGTTTTTGAATCTATAGAGTACAGACAAACAGACAGACAGACAGACATTCAATTTTATATATATAGATATACTAGACGAATGGCCCGGGCAACGCCCGGGTTTTACCCGAGTGCGTATATATTTTAAAAATGTTTTAATTAAAATACTATTCGTTACAATTATAAATTGGCGTCGTGGATGTCTCTCTTGTGAAACGTCCCGCCCCAAACTGTGTGTGTCTTGAAAATATAAAATAAAAATGTGAACGGAAAAATATGTCCTAGGTAGCCTAGTGGTCATGGCATCTGCCCGGTAAGCGGGAGGTCGTGGGTTCGATTCCCATCCCTTGACACTTTTTTTATTTTATCCATTCTGACCAAAATCTATCCGTGAACTTCACACAGTGAACTTCACACAGAGAGAATAAGGCAATTATCTATATTAATAAAATGGAAATTTCATAAGTGGACATCACTAAAACCTTTCGTTACAATGCATCAATTTCAAC